TATGGTATAATAGCGATTTTTTGGTGTGCTTTATAATGTTCTTACCAAAAACATGACAAAATAAAATATACTTTAAAATATAATATGTATTGAACTGAGTGATTTAAATAAGAATTTTTAAGAACAACAGAAAGTCTCATTCATAGTGGGCATCTACAGGTGGTTGTCAGGGCCCATTCTTTGGAATTTCTCCTACTCCTCAGCCCCATCCCATCCAACTTGCTTCACTGAAGATGCATATTTTTATGCTTCACATTAGAATTGTTTTCCCAGACTGCATATCACATCAATTCAGTTAGAATACTGGGCTCAAGCTGGAGTGGGGGCTGACCAGCTATGTATTTTAAAGTTCTGCAACTGATTTCACTGTACAGTCAAATTAGGAAAAATGCCTAATTAATGTAGGAGTGTAGTTGCCTTTATACCACTGTGGGTTGTTTCAATACAGAAAACTTGGCCTAGTCTAGGTCAAACAGATCTTTCCTTTGCAATTCAAGAACTGAGACTGAAGAATGAAAATTATTATTATTCTGCCATTCCTTTGCTGTATGGACATGTAAATTTAGAAGTGGATGGCAGTCCTATTCCATAATGTAAACTGAAGAGTTGAGGAAACCAGTATATATTAGAAGAATGAAATATGGTTGCACAGAAAGAAACATAAGAGATAAAGTGAGGGAACTTTCTGAGCTTACTAGGGCAATCTATACTCCAGGACTAATCTTCCATCCCTTGAGTTCCACAATTAACCAAATACTTTTCAAAAATTCTTCTTTTGTTAAATCTAGCTCAAAATGAATTGCTACTACTTTTAACAAATGGAATCCTAATTAATTTACACTTGCTGTTGATATCAAAGGAGTATTTCATGTTGAGTATGCAGTGTCTAATTATGGCTTTAATATAGAAGAGAACTTTTACTAGTGCTGACTATAGATGATGTAGAAAGTGCTCTGCTCAGACCTCCTTTAAGAGAACCAGCTGCTGGAACTGACAGCCACAATTGTTACTCTAGCTAGATCCACTTGAGCTGCTTCTCAGCCAATGACTGGACACAGTGAAGCTTGTGCCAGGCCCTTTCTGATTAATATAGGACTCTTCATATGGGCAACCTGTTTCAAAAATTCCTCATAAACCAAGCTGAAACCTTCTCAGAACTCCACTGAGGCCTAAAACTTCCTACTAGCCTGTTTCCTTCTCTCCCTTCACAGGTGCCAGACTTAATGTGGCTTCCTGAAAATTTTCTCTTCCCATTCCTATGCCCTCCTCCTTTTACTTTCACAGGAGTTTCTGCCAATAAATCAATCTATTGCCTTTTCTGTTAATTTAGTAGGGCTTTGATAACAAAATACCACAGACTAAGGGCTTTCCAGAAATTGATTTCTTCACAGCTGTGAAGAGAAGAAATTCAAGACCACGCTTTTGGTTTGTTTGGTTTCTCTTGAGGCCACTCTGCTTGGTTTGTCCCTCCCTACCCTGTTACCCTTTTTGGGCAAGCATTCCTGGTATCTCTTCCTCTGAAGACATTAGTCATGTTGGATTAGGGATCCACCCTTATAATCTCATTTAACCTTAATTAGCTCATTAAAAACTCTACTTCCAAACACTTGCTTTAAATTTTAGAGTTTTGACAAATGAATCTGAGGGTGACTCAATCAGCTTAATATGTACCACTTAGTATATCCTCTTAGCATCTGCTTCTTGAAAATTCCAAACTAATCCACTGAACAAAGAGAAAATGACTGCCTTTGGCATATAGTGAACTCTGCATCAGTAATGATGGTCACACAGAGTTTATAAGATTACTTTTAAGTGATATCAACTGGTCCCACTGATTCGGTTTTTATTTAAATTCACACCAATAGAATATTTTTTAAAATTGAACACTAACAGTAAAAACTACTCTGGAACCTGTCATGTAAATAGCTAATGGACACTAAGGTTAATTCTGATTCAATTAATGTCTATTATTATGACTTGGACTTTAAATCTCTCCCCAAGGCCATGTGACACACTCCCCACCATGATGTTCTACCTTGTTGCAGGCCCAAAAGCAATAGAGTCAAATGATCATGGACTGAAATATCTAAAACTGTGACTCAAAATGAATCTTTCCTCCTTATAAGCTGTGTGTATTATCAGATATTGGGTTACAATGACCAATAGTTGATTGACACATCTATCAATACATAATTTAAGAGGAATCATTGAAGATACTTTTTGCCTTCTATGATTCCATTTGTCTCCATGAAAAAAATGTTTATAGTCACATACATATGTATGCTTTGTTCAGCCATGTAACTGCACAGTGTAACTGTGCAGTATGCGGTACTTTTTTTTTTTTTTTTTTGGTACTGGGGATCGAACTCGGGTCCTTGAGCTTGAGCAGCAGGCGGCAAAACCACTGAGCTAAATCCCTGGCCCCAGTATGTGGTACTTTTGTATATGATCCTCAAATTATTATTGAATAAATTATCATTGCCTTCCCAATACCTCCACAGTTATTGCTCTTTAAGGTGATTGCATTCTTTGTATTAGAGCTGAGGTGGAGAATTGTGATGATTACGAAGCAAATAAAGAGATTTAAGTCTAATACTTTAAATGATTTTTCTTCACTGCATATCTTAGAAAGTTCAGCCTCAGGGACAGAAAGTAATGATAAGTATTCTCACAAGTCTTCACACAATGGCGTTTAGTTGCATAGTCCCTAACACCACTCCAAGAAGAGTCCATGTAATTATTGTCCATTAAAGGTCAGTGTTCATTCCTAGAAAGTAAGAAGGGAAAGGAAGGAGGAAGACAGAACAGAGTACCATGCTCTGTGCACAGAGCTTTTGTGAATGGGATGATGAATGAAAAAACGTGAGTGTTCCAAAGATGCAGATCCTTAGTCTCTTCCAACATTTCTAGAGTATTTAAACATCAGAGTTTGGATACCAGGTAATGTGAGAGTAGCTTGAATTGCCCTGGCATGAGAGAAAAACTTCCATGAAATCTGGTATTATGACTTGGGTATACATTTGCCAAAGGCTTTCAAGATCACCAAATTGTGAGATCTGGGCAGATTATGAAAAATAAAGTGGTGCTTTCAAGAAGAAACGGAAAGAATAAATCTTCTATAATAATTTTTCTACATATTTTTCAGCTATATTAAAGTCAACAAGAGGTTTGAAATTGAGATAATACTGTTTAAGGAGATAATGAGCACATATTTAGGAAAGTAGCTATGACATCATTTTAATGGTTGATTTTACTGAAGGTAAAGGATCAGCAAGATCCTTCCAAGTACTTTTTCTTCCTGCTTTTTCTTTCCTCTCCCTTATAATTTCTTTTGTATCTTATTGTTTCATGGAATTTGTTTTTCCATGTTTCTTCTCTTTTTCATGTTTTCTTTTCTGTGTTTTTCTCTCCTGATTTTGTATACACACAAGCACACACACACACACACACACAATTCCACTTTATCCTTCTCTCATCTATCTCTATTTTTCACTCTTTTTTGCCTTTATGTCTGGCCTGTATGTAAATGTGTAGGGGGAAGGCATGGAATAAGAGAGCTTGTATCTGTAGTTTGTAACTGATTTTCCAGGAGAATTTTCCATTTGGAGTTCATTTCTCCCTTTCCAGAATTCCTTGCAAATATTTAATTCTCTCTTATACCCTTACAAACTCAGGCTTCTATTTGAATTAGTTGTCTATGTGTCTGTTGTCTCCTAAATTATGAATACACACAGCAGAGCTAGGACTTTTTTCCATTTTTTTCCCAGGATAACATCTAATTCAGAGTACTAATTAGATGAGTCAGAGTCAGGGCTGACATTTGCATAATTCAACTCTATAATATCACATTTATCTTCATAACCATTGGTGTGATAATATTATCAACTGAGAGTCAATGACAATTACATGAAGAGTTGGAGAAGAAATTAGTACTATCCAATAAATTCTTGGTTGTATTGGATTGTTTACTCCAACAATGTCATTTACTAAATACTGGAATAACTAGTAAGAATACAGAAACAGTGTATGTTTCAAATTTAGACACAAGTTCTTGAGCTAGTTGACCTAGTTTTCAATCCTAGCTATGCAACTTACTCTTTACAGCTACAAAGCAGGCCAAGACCATGCCTGTTAGCCCAGGGTAGCCACTGCATGCTGAGTTGGCTCAGGGAGGTACAGATACTCCTAGAAGGCTCCCACCTAAGCCCCAGTTCTCTATACGACCTTATTTAAATTAAATGTTTTATATTTAATATTTAGAACTCCAGATAATAATGCTGGACTCTTACTATGTCAGGTAAACATTGGTTCAATTTCCCATCTACCCCAAGCTAGAGAATCAGATTTCAGATTTCAAAGTCTGAAACTTCAGCAGAAAACAGAATTTACTAGGATCAACTCTAGTAAATAACAGATTTTATATCACAATTTCTTTTCTTTGGAAGTAGGATTATCTTTGCAGAGGGCTTGTTCTAGCAAGCAGATCAGAAGTTAAAAATTTGTAAGTTTCTGGAATGCTATTCTTATCTACAAGGAGGTAGGCCAGCTGCTATTCCAGAAGTCCAAAGCAGAGAACTCTTCCTCAGGGGAAATTTTTTTTTCTTCGCTCTTTTTTCCCCCTTTTTCTCATATGTCCCTTAGTTTTTATCCTTTCTTACTTTTTTGCACCAATATAATTATCAATGATCACTTGCTGGTATTCATCACTCACAGTACATGTTAGCAGTTGAGAGAAAAGTTCAATACAGTAAGATGAACTAGCATAATTTCTGCCTTTCTTCCATTTCTAACCTCCACTCTACAACCAATCATAAGTATTCATCAAATGTTTGAGCTTTACCTGTTTTTCAACTGAAGAACTATGTTGCCTGAAGTTAGATTATAGTATGTAATCTTAAATTTTGTTAGAATAAAGATGTTATTCCTATAGAATAAAGACAGTATCTGCAGACATTGTTAAAATATACATCAATTTATTATATTTTATGTGATTCAAAGTATCTAGTGAAAAAAAAGTTTATTTTCTAAAAAGTCAGTGAAACATCTGATACACACCTGACATGAATGGTAGGTTCAAGAGTGAAAAAAACCTGCCATTTTAAGTGCACTGTCAACAAATATGTTGCAATCTTACCTTCTTCTTTGACTACAACGCATAGTATTCACTACACCTCTCTGTGGTTATCTTTCTGTTAAAAATTTGTTGTAACTTTCATAGATTCTTTTGTTCCTCAACAAATTATATTCAAGTGATTTATTATAGTAATTAAAATCTGGATTAAAGAAAAACTGTAAACCACATTTGTTTATTCTCCTTTCCACAACTACATACTACCACTTTTTCTCATCTGGAGCTTTGAGATCTCTACAGCCAAATTTAAAGAAAGTATCCAATCCAGGTTTCCACACTCATTCCAAAATAATCAAATGTCTCATCCTCACTGAACCTAATTCCCAAGAAGAAAGATTCATGTGCTGCTCTCAAGGAAACGTGTCCCTTTATTTTCTCATTCACTGAAGGTACTGATTGAAATGTGATGCCATGTAAGAGAACGACAAAGTTATTCCTCTTGACAAATTATTTTGGAATAAAGCTTTAAGACTTTCCATTCAATTCACATTCAATAATCCACCATCTCTTCTGCCTTCATCACAAAAGAGTAGCATCAACAAAATAAAAGTATCTGCCTATCATCAATAGTATTTAATCACATGAGCTTTTGTTCGGCTTTACTGATTTGCCTTCTGAGAAAAATAGATATTTAAAATACTAGTCCAATGTTAGTGAAATTAAAATTTACATTTTCAAACAAAAACTAAAACAATGTAATTTTGTAGCAAAAAATTTAAATTTAAAATTTTTGTTCCCTTATTTAATTTCTAAAGAGCAACAAAAGAAATTTTTAAATATTAGAGCAGAATTCTTTTTCTATTAGAGCTTTTAAAAATTCCAAAAAGCTGAAAGTACCACAAAATAATCAAAGACTTCACATCATAGATAAAACCTCCCAGATGTTACAGAAACATAGGCAAACAAAGGTGAAAAAAAATGTTATCAGCAGATAAAAAGATGCCTTAAGAACTTTCTGTGTTATTCCAAACAGATGGACATGAGTGAGCTCTAATATCATTATGTTTAGAAATGGCTTCATCCAGATCCAACTGTACACCATTGACATTCACTTCCATGCAGCCCTTATAAAAGGCATTCACTGGCGTAACACTGAATGGAATATCTGTAAAACAGAATATTCAACTATTAGTCCAAGACTTTCAGTATCTTATTTGCTTAAAGTTAGAGGAATTGTTCAGACTTTCCATTTGCAACCAAACTGTAACATTAAAAGAGAAGTTAACAATGCAATTCTACTCAATAAATATAAAATAACATACACACACACAAGTATGTATCAATCCTTATATAGTTTACCATATATAGTACTACGCTTGGCATGGCACTCAGTATCTTATGAGTTCTTCTGATTTAATAAACACAATCAGTTCTATTGAAACTAAAGATAAATAAACACCCTTACAGAAGAGTATAAAAGAACATATCCCAACTCATCATATTCTGTACTTATTTTTTTAAGTATATATTATTTTCTTTTTAAGTCTGAACAACACTTTATGCATTGTTAAATCATTTTTTTCAACTCCTAAACATAGTTACTTGGAAATGTTTTTTAAATGCAATGATAAATATATCTTTTATTACTGCTAAAATACAAGCAGATTTTCATATTTTCCAAAAAATAGTTTATTGTTGAGCAAACAACAGCAAATTATAACAGAGGATTCACTTTTATGAAATAATACTGTTCTAACAATAACAATTTTAATAACTACTCAGTGAACGGAGTAATTTTAGTGTGTGGAGCATCTCTTTATAAAACTTAATACTCGAGTCATAAACCTTGGATTCCTTAGAACTATGGTTCATTTTTTTAAAATGCCTATCTCTCTACTTGCTTCCTCTGTTTTTACGCATCTCCTCCTCACAAACATTCATCATGGTTATTCATTAGTTCTTAGTCTTCTTTCTTAGTACCTTATGCCAAAAATAAATACTTCATCTTTCCTTCTTCTAACTTGCCAATGAGGTCCATACTTTTCTATAAGCTTACAGCATATTTTAAAAATCCCTTTCAAGTTCAGGTAAACATTATCCATTATGCTACTATTTTTAAAAAATCTCTTTATCCTTAGAACATATAATTATATAACTACCAATATCACTTAAAACTACAAAAGTATTTTTAAAACTCCTCAGAATTTATTCCATATTTCACTTCTTAACTTGTGATTTAACATGTCTATTTTGTATATCAATAATTTGCCCATCTCATAATTTATAAGCTTATCTCAATTTTTCTTCACTCTTTCAACACTTCTACCTTGAATTCAGTCTTTAGTATTATTGAAAGGTCTTGGAATCCCTGAAAGTTTAGTATTTTTACATCATTTAAACTCCTTCATTGCTTTTTTGATTACTGAAATTGCATTCTACTAATTTGTGAATAAGGTAGTAGGTTTCAGTACAGAATTCATTCACTTTAATTGCAATTCTAATAACCATGCTAACCTAAATTACTTGAACTCTTATCTATGTATCTACCTATCCATAACTTTTGGAGTTTATTTACTTCTACTCCCACCAAACCCTGATTGAATCACATATGTGGAAAATTAATAACCTGAGCACTGAATGCAATATAATGAAGGTTACCAGAAGTCCAGAAGGTTACTAATCAATCAGAATTCTCTCCTTGAGAATAATCTGCAAATCGTACCAGAAAATGCTTCTAAAAACTTTCTGGCTCTTTTTTGCCATTGAAAATAAAATGGTGGCAGAATTTAACAGTTTCCAACATTAAATTAAAGATTAACCTGCTTTTCCTCTAGTTTCACCCATTTTGGTAAAGGGGATCCCCACCGTACAACTGCTTATGTCAGATACCTAAGAGTTATCATTATACTTGTATTTAAATCACTCAGTCTTTTTATTTTCTCACTTATATTTCTAAGCTACTCAGTGTGTGCTGTTTCCAGTGCCCTCACCCTAATCCACCAGCTTCCAGTTTCCTCATCTATAAAATGGGGATAATAATATTTTCCCCACTACTTTGAAAATTAAATTAGTTGATACATTTGAAGAACTCAGTATAGTATTCAGACTTTTCACTATGCACCAATTGATGATAGTATGATTATTGCTGAATGTGATTATTCAGCAGTCTCACTTCTCAATTTGTATCCACTTTTTTGCCTCAGAGCTCTCTATCCAATTTTTTAAATTGTAATACTGAAATTTAACTTTCTTGTCTAAAACATTTCGATTTGCATATCTTTCGTAATATGACCCTGAACTAGCTCTACAAGCCCTCCACCCATTATCCAATTCCCATCCTCACCCTGCAGTACCATATCACTTGCTCAACATGCTTTACACATATTATGTATTTCTCAAACATGTCACCCCTTCCCAGTTTACCTACATGGACATTTTACCACATAAACTCATCCCTGCTCCTACCACCTGGTTAAATTCATTTATTCCATCAAATATCAGATTTATATCTTAGTGTTTTATTAAGGCAATTGTTCCTGGCCTCGACAATTGAATCAAGTCCACATTTCAAGCTCTAAAAGCAATCCACACTTTTCCTTCATAGAAGAGATCACATTTTTAGTTATTTTGGTATTTCCTAATCAGTTGTTTTATTTCTGCTATTGCCACTAGATTGTAAAAGCCTTAACAGCAGGAATCATATCTATTTGTTTATTACTTTATCCATAGTACCTAGGATATAAATTCTTAATGAATACTAAAGAAATGATAGATGAGCCAAAGAATGAGTGAATAAATATTTGATAAATTAATGAATAAGTTCAAGAATAAATATTGAACTTATAAGACTATTGTGAAGATGACATGAAATGAAATCCCTTCTGGCTACGATAGCCAAATACAACAAAAGTCAATTAGTTTTAGTTCACCATTAAAAAAGGAATAAGAAAACCAAAATGTACCAATGCAATGTCTGTCCAAGCATCTAGAAAAAGAACACTGGAATTCGGTCCTCACTTCTCATACCTTTTTATTAAAATTCTATATTTATAATATCATAAATTTGATTAAAAATATAGTTTTTTTAAATGAAGAGAGTGTACCTGGAATGCCACCCAGGTAAGTGGCAACTGTTCCTTTCATTGCTTCATCCAAGATGGCAAGCTGCCTTTGAAGGTCTTCAGAGTAGGTGGTATCTTTTTTAAGTGGAGTCCACAGGTCCAGTTTGTTTCTGTTGACTCCAACTACCAGTTGGGATTGTTGACTGGAACACAGACTTACAGCCTCGATTCGACTTACTACTGTGTTTTCAACAGATACTAGAATATCCTGAAAAGCAGAGCAGAGACCCAATATAAGCAAGTAATAATAGTCATGCTACTTGGGTGACTTTTGAGCTTTGAAATTTAAAAACTGAATTTAAATGAGTAAAACACAATGTATGAGCCTCTAAGTTTAAATGAAAAAAATTATAATACTATATTAATCATAATCAAGATTTAATTCCTTCAACTGTGTGAATGTAATGTTGAAAACAGGAATTCCGTCTGTTTAAAAAAACAAAATAGGCAAGCAAAAAAAAAAAACCCTGAAATGTAAGTGAAGTAAGATCTGAGTACATTGGAGGTTAATAAGAAGAGCAACAACAAAACAGCAGAAACTTTTCAAATTGCTCAAGTTTAAGAACCAGATTATCCAAACCATTACTGTAGACATTATTCAATTACATGTCTCTTTCTAAAAGCAACTGAGAGCTTCCAAAAAAAACCTGGGCATTGGGCTGGGGATTTAGCTCAGTGGTTCCACC